AGGAAAATGTTTTCAAATTTATGCGTATGAAAACAGAAATTATATTAATAACAAATGCCACCGGGGCAAGCAGTGGCAACATGAAATTGCAGCTGCGCCGAAAACAACGGCAACATCGTTTGCCGAGGGTTAAACAACACTTGACATTTGTTCCCCACTGCACACATAAAAATTGCATAAAATTTGCATGCCAAAAGTGCGTCTCGAGTTTTTTGTGCCACCCTAGCCGCCCTCGCTTCTGGGCCACCCCATTTGGCCATCATCAGTGTTGTTTAGCAAGTATTTGGGGAATTTACTCTCGCCGCGTTGGATATTTGCAATCAGCATAACAATTATGCAAAAATGCAGAGGGGCAGAGCAACTTTGCCCCATCCAATTGTTCATGGCTGGCTCTTCTATACATAAGCTTGTATTTATTTACACCCCACACACATATGTTGTTTTGTAGTGCATTTAAATTTAAAGATCAAGCGGCTAATTAGGGTGCTGGCACACATGTTACCCAGCCGAGGGGTCTGACATGAACCGGAGGTACTGTGCGGTAGATCCATCATTGTGGATCCCACAATCAGATAAGCGGAGCGTAGCACTGCGATTGTCAAAGCGAATTTAATGAGCAGACGCCCCAACCAGCGTGGCACCTATATCTACATATCCCCTCTGCACTACCACACCACCACCCAAGTGGTGGTGTTCCTGTGAAAATCACAAAATCAGTTGGCAAGAAATCACGGCAGACAGGGGCGCAGAGAATTGGGAAGGGGGTCTTAGCGAGGGGGCACCAAAACCGCGGCGACAACATCGAAACAACGACAACGACGACATCATGCTGGCACTGTTTGCTAGGGATTGTGTTTTTCGGGGTGAAATTGTTGGGGAAATATGTGTTTTAGTGCACTTACAAAAAATGCTGTTGAGCTTTAAAAGTACTTAAATACATTTATACCAGAAATAATTTTCTCGAGTTGATTTTTGACAGATAAATTACAAATATATATTTTTAAACATCTCTAACAGTGACAAGTATCTTTTTAATTAATTAAATTAATTGAATTTGTTTTGAATTAATTAAGTCTTAATAGCAGTTTACGCCTTAACGAATAATGCTTAACTTAGAGGCTTAATAGATAATCATAAGAAGAGTTACTTGATATACGACTCAAGCGTTTTAATAAGCCATTAGGCCCAGATGGAAGTGTATTCAACAATACCACAAGTAACCATTTAAATATGAACATTTAATTTTTTCAGGTAGGTTTTATCCAATATTTTTTCTCTGACTGTTATTGTTCTGGAATGGCCACAAGCAGCCGGAGAAAAGCTTGTGGCAAATACCGCGATGCGTGTCTGTCTTCGTTTCCCCCGATTGCATTTGAGGGCGGAGGGAGTGTTTCTAGGGAGGAGGGTTGGGGAACTTTCCGTCAGGCAAACCGAAATTGTCTAGGCTGATGTGGGGGCTTTTGTTGTTGCCTAGGCAGGATAATGACATCAATATGCTTGACAAGACTGACAGAGGCTAGAAGCCAGTGACCTTGAAGCGAACTTATTTGGGAAACTCCAGAGGGACGGAACATGAGACAGCACGGCATAAGTGAAGTGGATGCCTGAAGTGCTGATGGAGCAGTTGGTAGATGCTTCATTAGCAGCCAGCTCGATAACAAATGGAACTCGTTTCGTTGCTATAGACACTTTTCCCCTCACCTGGCCGAAAATCTCTAGGGAATTTGACCAGGAATTGCCACCGAAGAGGAGGGCGGGGTGGTAGCAACCGACCACAGGACTTTTTCATTAGTGCAAGTGCCGCACAGCTGCATGCCACAAGCACACACAGTCCGCTAAACACACACAGTCACACATGGCCAACTCACGACACGTTCCAGGCATTGCGAGACGTGCCAAAAAGCATTGCATAAGCGCAGGCGGACAACGAAATCAGTAGTGTAAAAAAGGTGAAGGAAAACAAAAAGGGGAAACGTAAATACGGGCATGGCGAGGACAATATTTTTGCTCCTGCTTCTGCTCCGATTGCTCCTACGACAGAGAAAACAAATCTCAGCCACACATACCCAGATATTTGCACTGTGGGAAAATGTTGGGAAAGGAAAAAGCGGCTTTCTTGCAAAACCCCTTCTAAGTATTCATACAATTTTACCAAACACCAAAATATGATTTTTATAAAAACAAAATGATTTAAAGTTCAGTTGTAATTTAAAGTCATGCTTTACAAAGTTCAATAATATAAATATATATAAAATTATATAATTTCTTCTACACTAAATAATTTTAAGAAAATTTAAGACACTTTAAAATGTGACATAAAACATTTGCACATTAAATCCTTCAAAAATTGTGCTCTAAGTGTTATGCTGCATTAATTGATCAATTAAGATTTCTATACTTCATCTTTAAATGAAAAATTTTAGAACCTGAGCTTTTCTGTTACTTATTCAAAGACAAACTTGAACATCATAAATTCAATAAACATTGAATGACATTAAAACTTTTCTTTAGGTGCAAAACTTTATCATTTTACAATATTTTGCACTAATAAATTGCGAAACATATCCATTCATAGAACTCTTAAAGTCCATGCTCGAGTATCATCGTTTTATTACATGTCAAATCCCTGTAAGCCACTTTTCTAAGTGCAGTCGTTGGCAATGCGTTTAGCAATCAGCTCACGACTTGGCAGCCAGTCTGAGTTGCAGTGGCTCTGCCTCAGAACTGTCGTTGCGCATACGCCACGTTGCAGTGCTGCTGCCGCCATCCGATGGGGCGTGTGTTAATAATGCGTGACATAAACTGGAGCCCCGACAAGTCCCGTCGATGGGACAAACGAATTGAGTTGACTCGACTTGAGTGGGGCATTTTAAGTGACAGTTTGCAGTTTGTGAGAAGCGAAGATCTGAGCACTGCCGACTTTGTCTGTGAGTCTGGCGAGCAGATGACATTGTCATTGTTTTATTGACATTTCTCACACACTCACAGCCCATTCTGAAGTGCAGAGAGAAGAGAAAGAGGTTCCATCTTAACACTTCAATTTTTACTTAAAATATGCAAATAAGTGCTGCCAAAGTGCTGCCAGAGGCAAGTGCTTCTTTTACCCGAACTTCCAACCTAATGTGTGTGCGAATGTGTGAGAATTTCAATTTCCTGCTCACACCCGTGCCAATCAAAAGAAAAACCCCGATCGAAGGGCGGGTGAATAAATTTGCTGCGAACGAGGAAATTAAACCAAATTGAAATTGTTTCGCGCACACACAAAGTTTTTCTTATTCCCTTAAATGCTCCTTATTTTGGGCTCGACTTAAGCCGGGGAAAGTTTTAATTTCCAATTGACATTTTGCAAGTGCATAGCTAATCCTGCAGCTCCCCAGGGAGCAAAAGGGGCTGAAAATAATTACAAACTGCAATTATTAGCCCGGCTAAGGAGACGCTGCCAGGGCAAATCCAATTAAGTGAAAAGCAGGTGTAAGCCGATGCCTTTTACCTGACCAGTTCACCTGATTCTTCGTAACCCCATTTTCCCCCTATAGTTAACTGGGTAACTCGAGCTGCTGACCTTAGCCCGTTTTTTTTCCGCCCCCCTTTTTTCCACCCCTCTGTTGGATTTAGGTCCCCCCCAAGTGTGTTCTTTTTCCTCGGCTCTCCAGTTTGGCTCCCCTCGAAAGCATGAAATGAAATTGTCCAGCTACAGGCACAACAATGACAATAGTAATAATAAATAATAATGGTTAAATGTGTTTACAAAAAGAGAGAAATCTTTTGCTGTTATCTGGACCAAAGCCTCCTCCTTGCTCTTCACTCTTCACTGTTGGACTTGGACTTGGCTTACTTTTGTCTGCTGTGAACTGTCATTGCGTGTTGCACACAAAAACACCCGGAGATTTAGAGCGGAGAAAGGGGAAATAAGAAAGCGGAGAAAGGGGCTCTGTGAAAGAGAATGAAAAATTATGTGGCAAGAGTTGCTTTACCAGTTGGCAGTCCTACTTAATTTTTGTTGCGAAAATGCCACTTGAGTCTGCCTGAAATATTTTGGGAACATTTTTGATGCACAATTGTGGTAACAAGGATTACTAATGGCTAAAAAATAATTTAGGATTTCATAGAGCAAACTGCAAATATTTCTATCTTACTAGATGATAGAAATTGTTCACTCAGGAACATTTATGAAATTCTTTTATTATACGTTCAGTTCATACGACAAAATAAAATCAACAAATTCATTAAAGTAAAACTATATAAACGTATATATAAATAAATTTATTCTTTAAAATTTAAGTAAGAGCTCTTCAAAACCACGAATTCAAGGAATAGGTTGAATGAATCCAATCAATATTTTACTTAAAATTTGAGTACTTTTGAAGACATTCTCAAGCCACCCTCGTAATCTTCTCCCCCATAATGAAAGTGAAAAACTGTTGCAGCAACAGCAAACAATTTCGCAGCCGAGGAGAAAACTATTTCAATTGAGGTAGAAAATGAACGACAAGGACATGGCGGCATTTCCCTCTGGTTTTTTCTCTTATTTTCAGTTTCCTTTTGCCTTCTATGTTATTCTTGGTCTTGCCATGAATGGATGCCCACTCTTCTCCATTTCTTTTTGTGTGTTTGCAGTTTAAATTGCACTTTGAAAGGAATTTTTTTGATTTAAGCATTCGTTTCATTTGGCTTCTATGTTCTATTTCTTCTTTTTTGGATGCCAAGTGAGATAATATGTCAAGTGGCATAAGTCGGTGGGTGGGAAGAAGGAGAGCCCATGCACCTGCATTGATAGGATCGAAGCAGGTGTCATCCCATTTGGGAACAGCCAGAGCCAGCTCTTAACTTGCCCATTTACGGACGGTTAGCTGTGTTTGTGTTGGCCCGGCTTAGTCCCAGTTTCAGTTTGAATCAAGTTGCAGGGGCAAAAACAGCTGTGGCAAGTGGCCCGATTGGGAAACAGTTGTCCCCGATATTGCCCGACATCTGGGCAGTATATAAGGGGAACTTGGCTGGCAAACGAGCAGTCAAAGACTGAATCAGCAGCATGTCTACAGTGTTGGTAGTGGTCCTCATTCTCTGCGGAATCCTGCAGGTTGTGTACTGCCAGGATAACACAACCACTACGCCCACGGACTACTGTAAGAGTAGTTTGTGTCATTTTACGAAAAAACATATTGCCTGCAGAAACAAAGGAGTAAGTTCCCCCCTTTTTTCAGGACTTATAATCAAGGTTTTTATTATTACCTTTAGGAGATTAGCAAACAGTGTCCTGCTGGCGCCCAGCTGGTCAATCTAAGTGGTCTGCATGATCTGATCCTGAATGAGCACAATGCATTGCGAAATATCCTTGCTGCTGGCAAAGTCTCGAATTTACCTCAACCCGATCGCATGGCCACACTGCAGTGGCATACCGAACTGGAGTATCTGGCCACACTGAACGTGAAGCAGTGTGATTTGAAGTACGACCCTTGTCACAATACTCCTGATTTCGGTAACTCTGGCCAGAATCTGGCACTGGTCAATATAAACTTGCTGAAAGGAGATGGAAACCACACAACTGAGTGTCTGATAAGGGAGTCTATTGGCGGCTGGTGGAATCAGAGTGCCAATATCACAAAGGAGCAGTTGCAGCGTTTTCCGAAGGGAAAATTGGCTGAGTGGGTTTGCCTTCTTACTGGTGCTTTTTTTTCTATTATTGATATTTTTTATGCCTAACCAGATCCTTTAGCAACTTTGCCGTTATGGCCCGAGACAACAACACTTTCGTGGGCTGTGCTGCCTTGAGTTTTGAGAAGCCCGCTGGCCATCCTCAATTCCTGCTGGCCTGCAATTATGCCAGCAATTATGTCCCCGACTGGCCTATTTACCGGGAAAAAGCCATCGGCTGCCAGTCGGGCTCTGACCTCAAGTATCCATCCCTTTGCAAGGCTGGTGAGCAATATCAAGAGCAGCCGATGGATGAGACCACTAAGGCGAAGAGCTTTTGGGGGCTGTAGGAGTGCTAAAAATAACACTTAGCCAAGTGCTTGGAGTGGGCGGAGGTGCACTCACAGTCTATTTAACATGTTGATTTGTGTCACAGTGCGTGGCGGTCATATATCATCTCACAGCAGCCGCATTAGCACAGACACCTGGAAAACCAGTGATGCCGTTTTATGAATGCCAAAAAAAATCAGAAAAGTCGAGTAAAATAATAAAAGCTGAAAGTGACAGAAGAGGGTTACTTGTTTTTTAGGGAACGATTTTTTTTTGGTTTAGGAAATATATAATTTTTATGATTATCAAAATATACATATATTTAAAGGATGAAAAGTACGATAAATTGTATTCAACATAAAATATTTATTTATATCAAAGAGGAAACTGTTTTTGGATATTCAATTTCAAAGCAGCTTACAATTTAATAATGATATTAATTTCATTTCTGAAAATCGATAATAAATTAAATGGTTTTCTAAGCGATTATGCTTTCATATTTAAATTAAATTAAATTGAAATTTGACAGCTAAAATTGAAAAATAAAAAACAATTATGGTTTAGCATCCACATTTCATTTTTTTACACCCAAAAAATAGCAATAATATGAATTGGGTTGTTGTATAAAATAAAAATTCAATATTTAATAATTATATTAGCACAAAGTCATAGTGACATCCTAAAAAGGAGCTATAAAATGGCTAAAACCACAACTCAAGTACTCACACGCATTTAGCTCCACTTCGCCGCCCCCACATCATCATCATTTTCATCAGCAACTAAAATATGATACGCGTTGTTTGGGTCGGAAAAACGCGAACGAGACGCCGACAAGTTGGCATCTAATTTTAACGTCAATATACAAAATGTAAAAACGTGTCTTCATCAGCTCCTAATATAGAGGCCACCATCCCCTCTCTGCCCCCCGAAATCCCTAAGTGCCTATTAATAATGCCTCCTCGACGGGCTGAAAAGAAAATGTTTTCCTTGGCTCTGCTTTATTTTTAGTGTCCATCCGCGATGAGGCCTACGTTTAATATGCCGTTACTTTGTCAAATCCGAGGCTCATTAAAGTCAGGCGAGAAAAATAGGCAACATTTTTGATAATTTTTTCCGTCGCGATAATTAATTCCGTACTAATGCCGGCCACATTCATTATGGCTTAATTAAAATTCAACTGGAATTAGTTTCCAGCACCTCCAAAAGACCATTATATACTTATCAAGCTGAATATATTTATATCTTTTTATATCTATATTTTTTGTGCTAATTACTTTTTAGTGCATATTCTGTTGTTCATTTTGCCCGAATATGAAAATCACCAAAGTGCTGTTTTTGATGTTGTTTTTGGCCCTCATTAAATGCGTGTAAAACCCACATGCCCAACAACATATTTCACGCGACTCATAAAAGCATAAATACACGCATAAATAAAATAATGTACGAAGTTGTGTCAGTGGTTAGAGTCATATAAATTATTCTCCTACTAGGACAACAATGTAGGGTTTTGTTCGGTGTTGATGGATGTGGAGGGAATTTTGGATTTTATAGGGTGCCATTTATTATAGGGGTTAATATATCATATTTTGGTGTGGTACCGACTTAAACTTGAATACAACCAAAATGCTAAGGCATTTCCCAAAAATATTTTCTAAATTGCAATTTTGTAAATTTCTTCAAATAAATATAAAACTATTCTTAGCTTTTTCTTTCTCCACTCACAAGCATGATATACTATATCATAAAAAGTTTAGCAGGTCTTAAAGCTTTCCGCCTAATATTATATGGCGTATTAAATATTTATATTCGATGATTTTGAAATCAAAACACACGACCATTCGAATTTCTATGGACTGTCTGTCCCTGAACGCTTCACAAATTTGATTGTTGAAAATGATTTGATGGCCCGGCCAAAATGAAAGCGCCAATTTATGGCCTGAAGGAGGACTATGCGCTGCATAAATTGTGGCTGAATTTAAACAAGTTAATATGATATTAGTCGGAGGCAAGCATAAATTATGAAAGCGTGCGCTATTGAGAAGAGGACGAACAATATAAACAAAGCTGGCCTGATTTAGTGCTGCTCGTTTGACTGTTTAATGAGCACTCAGATGTGTCAAAAGGCTAAATGGAAATTTGTTTAATTATGATTCATAAGTCACAAAGCGGCTTACACAGTCGCCGAAACATGCAAAATTCCATTCTTGTTTGAAGTTGTTCGCCTTGGCATGCAAAGTCTGGCCTCGGACATGGGGAAGCGTCTAAAAAGGCAATCAAAAGTTTGACCAAAAGAAATGGCAACAAGAGCGCAAAATATAAAAACAAACTTGACAAAGTGAAACTTTTGATTTATGCAATTTGCGCTAAAAATACAAATCCATTTGATCACACTGGCGTGGGGGAAATAAAATTTGGCCAACAATTCCAATAAAATGGCAAAGCAGGCTTTGATTTATTTGTCCTTGACTGGGGTGGGGTAATCTGGGTGTTCTGGGTGTTCTGGGTACTCTGAGTAATTCCCCAAACGCAGCCGCAAATGCTTAGCCGGGGATTTGGAGACAGCTCCTTACCCCTCTCACCCTTCTAGGGCCGAAAATGTCATACATGGAGCATAATAAATGGGCTAGTAAAACTTTGGACAGGAGTGGGACTGAGCCCGGGTTTCTTGTGCCCTGCGTCTTGTGTCAAGTCAAATGCAAATGACCGACAAATTTGCCAAGCTATATAGCGATATGCAAACGGAACGGATATATGCTTTGTTTATGTATAATATGACCGCAGGCCATACTGGCTTGGCTGCCCACAAATTTCCACACAATTTATGCAAGGCGAATTTGTACGGATGGGGCGGCGGAGACACGAAGGATCCCATTGCCGGATCATTTATTTTATAGTCCGTCGCTTTAAGTTATTTTTCTTCATTATTTTTTATGTGGCTCCGAGGCTGGCGAGGACAACCGAAAACAATTGCCAAAGGCATTTGGCAATCAGCGCCAAATGTTTGCACTGTTTGCGCAAATAATTTATACGAGCAGCAAAAACACACAACGCATAACAGACAGACGACATCACACATACGCCCCGTTGGCCGGCTCAAGTTCATAGACAGGATCTTAACGGCACAGTTCATTAGCGGTCCCTTGGCCAGGAACTTGCTTTATTAATCCTCCAAGGATCCAGACAACGGGCCAGTTGTCATTAGGGTTTCGTCCTGCGATTTCCCCTCTCTGGCCGACATAAACACCAAATTAAGTTTTAGTGTTTCATTTGTTTTTGGCACTCTCTTCACATGCGTGTGTATGGGTTATAGTGTGGGGGATTTCGGGGCTATTTGCTTTTATGGCCCCAACTGTGAGCCCTGCGGTCTGTGTAATTTTTGGCTGCCTATCCTATTGCCTTTTGATTGTTTGTAATGAGCTGCTCGGACTGGTTATGTGCGGGTCATCAAGGATATGAATAAAACAGCGATCGAAACAGTCCGATAAAGGTTGCGCAAATGTCAAGCAGTCAAAATGTTGATGGGTGAGGCCTTCTAATGCGATTCACTTGATCCACTCATCACGCAGGGCTTATAATGATAGGATAACACTATACAAACATAAGTAATTCGCAGCTCAAATTTAAGCTCTATAATTCCATAAAGCCATTTTTTTTTAATTTATACAAATTCCCTGAGATACATTTTCTATGGAGGAATATATTTCGTTTAATTTGTGATTTAATTGATTCGTTTGAAATGCGATTCCAGCTGATTTAATTTGTTTGCCAATTTCATTTGTTATTTATTCAGCTCATTTGAGCATACAATTTGCTTCAATTGTACAGTCATTTCAACGGCAAGTGGATCAATATTATTTTCCATTTTTTATTGTCATTTTTTTTTAGTTCTAAGCCAATGATCAAACATTTTCAGAGGTCACTTTTAATTTAGATGCACTTGCAGCGGCCAATTGTGCGGCAAACATAATTCAATTAACGCCTGGCCATTGGATGCCACAACACATCACACACACAAATATATAGAGACAGATATGGCCAAAAAGAAGAAGAGCGATAGATGGTCCGTGCAGAATGGCCGGAAAGTGGCGCTTTACAATTTGTGCAATTTCCGCCTCTGCACAACATCAAACAGAAAATCTCCACTCCACTCCCGAAAAGTGAAAAAAATAAAAACTTTGCTCTCGTTTGATGTGTGAATTGCGCAAATATTTTTGTAAAAAAAATATTCCCTCGTACTCCTCCTCCTGCGATGAATATTTATCTTGTTTCCGTATACTTTTTGGAGGTTTTTTCCCCTGAGACTTGTTAAATGGAAAACAAACAAAGAATGTTTTCACATAATGCGATTAGCGCCCTCGGCTTCGGTCGCCATCGAAATTTATTAGCCGCTTATGCAGTTCGATTGAAATTTAATTGAGAGCACAACAATTTCTGGCCGAACAATATTAATTGACAGTTGATGTTGCGTGTCAGGCAAATATTTGATCTTTCGTTTTTCCATTCAATTGATGTCCTCCTGGTTTCTCCGCTTTCATGCTCCGCCAACAGCGAAATCTAATTAGCATTTCAGACCCCTCCTGCCAAATGACATGGCTGAATAACTATAATTGCTTAAATAAACACCACGACAAATGCATATTAATAAACATCAGACCCGGCAGAAATGTGAATTACGACCAACCCATCTCGAACCTGGCTAACATGCAATGAAGTGAACGAAGCTTGAGAACTGGACTTTGTGGGTTGAGAACGGTGCACTGGGAAAGTGCACCGCCAGTTGCATGTTAGGTTGGTCATTCACATCACCATCAACTGGTAGTTGGATACAGTCCCGCCCAGAATTGCAAAACGGATACAAATATGGAGCTCTTAGAGAATATTCTCTCTCTAAACTTCAATGGGACCAAGAAACTTGAATTATTTCTTTAATTATTTGTTATCTTTTCTGATTAGTTAATAAATTTAAAATGAAAAGATACTTTAATTTTCTTGCCACATTTTAATTATAATATGTGCATAGTGATTGCCTAAAAACATGCATTTGATGTTGTGATTAATAAAAGAAAGCCATTAAAAGGCTTTGATGGAAAAAAGGTCTACCAAAGAAAGTAATTTGTAAAATACAACGTCAAATGAAAATATTAATTACTAATACCGTTAGTACATTTTAATAATATATGGCTGAAAAGGCCCATCGCAAAATTTCCTTAATTATTCAGCAATCTATATTGATGTACCGAACTGTAAACAACATGTGCATATGTTAAATAGACAATGCGTGACGTTTTCTAGTGGCGTTCCTGGTCTTCTTCGGTGGACTTTAGCATGGCAATTATGCATTTTTAATCAGACTACTATAATGCTTCCCGGAAAAGCTTTTCCTATTGATTTTTTGAATCAACCAATTGACATACATCCGCTAAAGGAACCAAGTGAACCCTTTTGAACCCTATTCGTATTAGAAAACCCTATATATATTCCAATAAGCCAAATCAAACATGGTGAAGGGCAAATCAAATTGAAAAGAATCATTCCAATTCAGTTTCGGTTTCTGTCTACATTTGCATACAAATGCAGGCGGGATTAAAATCAAAATTCGATATGCCACAGGCCACATACACACGCACACCCCTTCCGGGAATTTTCCGAACAATATTTTACTGCTCAAGACATTCCGACATTGTTGTACGGAAAATGGGAGTGGAGATCGGTGAGGGGGAAAACTTAGCCAAGTTCTTCAATTACAATTTGATTTGCAAATGACACAGAGAGAAACATGGCAAGAAATTGAAGTCGAAAACTTTCGCAAGTCAAGAGGGAAAGGTCGGAAAATGTGACAAGTCGGGTTGAGAAAGTTCAACACGAGCCGAGGCAAGTGGTATTAAATGTTTGTTGAAGGTTTCAACTGATTAAAAATAACGGAAGGCACTCGCCAAAAGTTTATGAACATTAAGTACGGATATAAACCTAGATGGAACTCAGTGTCTCCCTCTGTTAACCCTCCTACAAAATTCCGACATCAACGACTCTTCGGGCAATTGAATCCTTTAAGCCTGGCACTTTTTTCATGGCGCCCGGCAATAAAATGTTGCAACATTAAAAGGGCGGTGCACATAAATAAAAAAATCGCTGAGTAAAAAATTGGGTTAAAAATTAACTACACCAAATTTAAATCAACTGCAGAAGGGGGTGGGGGGCTGAAGTTTCGTTGCCTGTCAGCGAATCCTTCGAATCCTTGGGCGACTGCCGCCGGGAGCCGTAAAAAATCGACTCGCTGGGCACGCTGAATACGGCCGGAGTCCTGGCAGCCGTAAATAAAGCGCCGCAAACATTAATAACTCCCATTGGGTGTGTTAACAAGCAATGACCAAACAGGGCCGTACCCGGCAGGCCTGGGATTTCGGATTCGTTTTCCCCACATTTCCCCCTGCCAGTGTGCATAAATTGCAGTAAAAATGGCGCAAAAATTTCACATTTTGTGGCTGTTGGGAAAAACGATGTGCACAAAAAAATGGGGAACAGTTGAGAGTGGAGAGCGAGTGGAAAAATAAGTTACGAATAACCAAAAAGCTTGCTGGCATGTAAAAATTGCGCATACGCCAGGTGCGCCGCTCCACATAAAATGGTTGAGTGATGGAGGGTAATGCATGTAAGACAATCATTTTGACAGGCACTCTCCGCCGTGTTTACCCCGGAATTGGCCTCCGCCTTTGGCTGTGTGTTTCTGTTACTCATTGGGCCGTCGCTCGTCTGGCTGCCTCCTGATTACTATGCACTTTGATACTTATCTTTAATTGAGGTAACATTCTGCACGGCGCAAGGAGGCGAAGAACCAACAAAATTCCCGTCTGCCACGCCACGATGAGCACGCTTTTCATATTCGCATTTGGCTCGTTCGGTCTGTCAGGATCTGCTTTCGGTTGAGAGTTGAAATGGGTGCGAAACGGTGCTGACACTCTGTTAATTTGCTGGGAAAGTATGGCCGCTCTTAAATCGCCTCCTTAAAGTCCCTAATTTCCACAAAAATCTGAGAAAAATTCTTTAGAACAGGGATTGTCTTAAATCTTTGTTAATATATTTTTAAATAGAGTACAGCTCGAAGAGAATATTTCTAGAAACACAAATTGAAATTTGATCTTATGAAGTAGTATCAATTATTTGCTAAAATTTTAAGGAACATGTAACATTTTAATGGTAATCATACTTTCTGTTAAAAGTTTTTTTTTATTTGTTTGTTTGTGTTTAACTCAAAATACAAAAATGGAATGTTATTGTATTCTGTGATATTACATCACTTCTTTTATTTGTATTCCCTGATAGGCTTTCCCAGAACGATAATTTTAAAATGAAAAAAGCAAATTATCCTTATAGTTATTGACAGATCGTTTAAAATGGTTAACACACTTAAGCGAGTCCTCATGAAGCGACCGCAATTGGTTAAATATATATGATGGTATTTACCTCCCCAATCTCCTCCAATAATGCGTTGACCCCAGCCGTATTTATCCATGCGCCACAAGAGTAGCTCAACTTTGTTTCAATTAATCGTTAACCCTTCGGGCAGTTCGACGTTTGCTGCTGCGGCTGCTGCTGCCCAGTGCTTGCTTGCTTTATAAATATTTAAGGCCATTAAACAGACAGCCCACACACACACATGCATTCGTAATCCTGACCAGGACTAAGCGTTTTATGGCCCTTCCAGTGCCTCCGCCGTTTGCCATTGTTGCCGCAGCCGGAGTCGTAGTTTTGTGGCCCTGGCAGGGGTCGAAGTGCAAACTCCCTTCCCTTTCAAAGTCCCACCATCGTAACCGTAGCCGTAATCGTCATCGTTATCGTGTGTACCTTGGCCCAATTGTTTTGCCATCATCAGACGGGCTACGATGTCTGCGGCGGATGCCAAGGCTAATTTTGCGTAAAATGAGCGCTGAGCAGCCGCTCGAATGATTCATTATGGCTCCCAAAGGACCCGTTGCATGCGCATATATGCAAATGAACAAAGGGGGTGCGAAGGGGGTGATTTAAAGGACCTTCCGGTACCTTGGGGCCACTGCACCCGCACAACGAATCAATCATAGATTGTCAACGGCCACGATTCGCTTAAGTCGGTGGCGTATACGTGATGTTGGCCACTCCCTGCGGACCCGCTAATTGATTTATTGCCCGAAATTAATTCTATCCCAGCACATTAATATTTATTGCACAAGCTGCGATTGCGATTACGACTCCGATTATTCATCGTACTGTATTCAGTAGTCAGTAGTCAGCACCTTGACCTTTCGCTCGGATTTTTGTCATGAATCCGCTTTTTGAATTATTTCCATTTTGGATTTGCCCGCAGCTTTTCGTGTTCGCCTTTAAATTGCTGCCATGAATAAATGAGTTGCTCAAGCGAACCGAGTACAAAAGCCTGGCTAACGAGTCCGTACAAACAATCTGCGGACTTTTAAAGGGGGTGATGCAGTACTCACCCATCCACCTGCTATTTGCTGTTTTATAAAAGCAATACGCATATGCCCGCTATGCCAATGCAGCACTGCTATTTGCATTCACTCTGCTGCAATGTTTGCCTCCGAGGCGATTCCCTCTGCCCGCTTTGCACCGTCAAACCCAGTGGAAAACCCAGTAGAAAACTCAGTGGAAAACCCTGAAAAGCGCTTTTAGGGTTTCTGACTGGCAGCTCTTTAAGTTCTGCGGTCCGTTGCTGGCTTCAGGAAACTTAACTACTGACTAAACGACACTCGGAATGGCGATGAAAGGCACACAAGCCGAATTTCTTCGGGTTGCCATACAGAACCCAAAAAAAAGACAGTATTTTAAATTACTTGCTTACCCATTTTAATTGGCAAATAGTTAATATTCGTTTACTGTTGTTTCATTTAATTCAAAGGAAAAGTAGCTATGTCTCAAATGAAATATAACATACAAGTTTCCAAATTGTTGATCAATGAAGCCATCATTTTTCCCCAGTGCAGCTTTTCGAAATAAGCATCAGTATGCCATTACAGGTGACCATTGAATGCTTTTCCTTCACCGACTGCTCCGAAAATTCCTTTTGGTGCTTCGGCTTGTGGTAGAAATTCATTTCAGTTGCTGGCATTTTGAACACTTGAATCGGTTGCCAGAGAAATGCATCCATCGCACTGGTGAATAAAATTTAAGGCAATTCTTTCATAATTATCAGTGCTTATTTGATTTGTCTCTGGGTTTTATTTTTACCCAATTAAAAAAATCCTCATCCACGTACTCGTACTTAATTCTGTAAATGACAAGCTTTATGAGCTGAGCCATTTGGGAGTTCGTTTAGATTGTTGTTTGTTTGGTTTGTTTGCCAGCTAGGTTGCTTTTAGGCGGAAATGAAATTTTTGCAATTTTACAGTTTTACTATTTTGCCGTAAAAGGGTTCCATGTTTTCTGTTTCAAAGAGCGGGGATGGTTTTGAGTGGGCTATAAAAGCTTTTTGCTTTTGCCGTTTTACAAATGGCGACGGCGAAGTCATAGAAAGTCGTCGTCGCGTCGAGTAATTAGAAAATTAACCCCTGCCAGCAGGCCATAAATGAAAATGAAACAACAACTGTGTTTTTGCAATGCGAGCAACTAACTAAACAACAACACCCGGCACTTCACATGGTGACCACTTGGTAAAATCAGCCATGCGAACGCCACTTAGTGACTCTTTTTTTATTTTTCTAAGGGTGGGGAAAAGCGTGAAATGAAAGCAAGCGAAAACAGAAAAAAATACGGGGGTTGTGTCATCGCTTTAATTAAAGTATACACGTTAAGGTGCAGTTTTTGATTCTCCCGAATTTTATTTTTCGGCCAAGAAAAATTGGGGGTGTGTCCTTGACGTCAGGTGCCAGCCCCATTATGGCAGGCCATATTCGCACTTGAAGCTATTTTATATATCATATATATCAATCTCAAATCCCGTTTCCTTATATATTTTTCAGGGCTGGCCGTGTGCTACCAGCGGCAATCTGTGAGCAACAACAATCACAACAACGCCGAGGCGAAGCCCACCCACGCTCCCCCCTCGCATTATCCCCATGGCCACAAGTGGAACGAGCCGTACTTTGATCTCACCATGCCCAGGAACATCACATCGCTGGTGGGCAAATCCGCATATCTGGGCTGTCGTGTCAAGCATCTGGGTAATAAGACGGTAAGTTCCGGCGTGCCGTAATAAATCTACACCTGCAAAAACCGACAAATATGTTATATGAGGGTCTTAAGAAACTCATTGTTAATTGTCAACTTTTTTAAAAGACAATTATTTGTAATCGCTAAATCGCGGGAAAGGGAAAAAACTTCTTAGAGGAATTAATATAAGTATGTTTAACAAATAAAAAACGAAACTTAGATAAATATTAAAGCTTACAAAGGCTTCGAAAAAGTTTCATCAGCCAAAGTAAGAAGTTTTATATAAGAAGTTATATATAATGTCAAAATTTATGAAATTAAATTATTTGTAATCAATGCTTAATAATATTAGAGCCCCAAAAATACTAATACTTTTTTATCGAAATTAAAATCTTATGCCTATTTAAAACCATAAAAATACTGCTTTTGTATGATTTATTTAATGTTATTTCGGCTTATTCGGCTTATTTAACATGTTTGTGGGGAAAGCTCTTTCAAGTTGAATATTAGGTTGCTAGCTTTTCCCTCAGTGCAGGATAAGTCAACAGGGAGACAACAGCCGGAAACATTTCGTATTAATAATCTTGATTTTTATTTACATTTAATAAACAAAGAGCTCCGAAATGGGGCGACCGCAAGTGCGGCGAATGTGTCACCAAATATCCACTTAGATGGCCGACACAGACACAGTGGTGTTATTAAATTTGCTGCCAGTTTATTATGTAATACGTGACAGCAGCTGACACACACACATACCCACACACATGCTGACCACCCGGTTTTTTTGCCTTTTGCCCTTTTTTGTCTAGGATGGCGTAACTTGATCCACCCAACCCAATTAAAGTCTCCTCTAGCCGATAGTTAGTTAAGTTTCGAGCACCGAAACAAGGTGTTGCATTTCAGCGATCAAAATTAAATTGGTTGCCATAACAAAGGGGGGCGGTATAGTTTATGCCGCAGACACAATGCGGAAATATTGTGCACGCATTTGCCAAATTCACCGCTACCCCGTTTTTTTTTGCTGCGAAAGTTTGCAGGTGCTGGCAGGCTCGCAAACGTTGATTACGCTAAGCGATTTGGCCACGGTCATGGGGCTCATAGATTTCCTCCAGGCCAAATCCGCTTCCGCAATCAGTAAACTACACACACATCCTCCAGTTAACTGGCCGTGCTCGGTTTTTGGCCAACAGTAAATTTATGGCCAGCCCGGGCTAAAGTTTACTTTCCTACTTTTTCGGGTTGCCGTTGCCTCGTTTTTTTGTGCTTTTTTCCTGCTGTTATTGCAGAATTAGACAGGCGGGCCAGACAGGAAAGTGGAACTGGAACTGGAACTGCACAGATGGATGCCACACAGTTGGCTGACTCTGTCTGTCTGTCTGTCGGTCTCTCGGTCTGTGTGTGTTATTGGTTAGACAGTTAGCCGCATAAACAAGGAGCCTCCACTACCAAAAATAGACAAAAAAAAAGAACGACAGGCAACAAATTTGTATCAAATGTAGTGGGCAATGTCGAGTGAATGTCGCAGGATGGGGCGTATCATTTTCCGGGTCTGTCATGCGTTCCGCACACTAATTCCAAGTTGTATGAAAATTCAGTCTGTGAGCTGCATAAATTTTGCGGTTTCTGTGGCGGCGATTGACCCCTAACACAAATTCAAACCTGGCCTCTTTGAAGTCCCCAGAGCCTAGTATTAATGGACATGAGGTCCTTTCCTCAGGTTGCCTGGATACGACATCGCGACCTGCACATCCTCACCGTGGGCACCTATACCTATACGACGGACCAGCGGTTCCAGACCTCCTACCATCGGGACATCGACGAGTGGACCCTTCAGATCAAGTGGGCCCAGCAGAGGGACGCCGGGGTGTACGAGTGCCAAATATCCACGCAGCCCGTGCGCAGCTACTCGGTCAACCTGAATATCGTGGGTGAGTAGCTACACTTGTTTTGATGATGTAACCCCCTTCTTAATATGCGAAAAATGGCTTAGCAGAAAAGTAGCCAAAAACCTGCAGTCCAAGTCCATAAATTTTCTTGCAGACATAGTCTTGTGGCTTTAGTCTCTGGTTTAATTTATTTTTAACTGGGGTTTTCTTTATTTTTAATATTTTTTTTTTTTTTACAATTTTTTAAAAACGCTTTTGCAGAAAAGTGACCAAAATACCTGCAGTGTCAAGTGCTTAACTTTTCTTATATTTATACGATATTGGAGTGTTATCCGTCATTTAAAAAAGAATATTTGTAAAAGAGTATACAAAAATTTGTTTATGGATTAACGTGTATTCCAGTTCAGCTCGCTTAACGTAATATTTACGCGCAGAAACGAAAGAATTCAGAGCCTCTGTCATGGTTTCCTGTTTGTTTGGGAAATTTGGCATATTTTTCTGTATCGTTTTGCATATTCATGCAATTTTCAAGAGTGTAAATTATGCACACTTGGCAATCGTCGCAGCAGGATACAAAAACGAAGGCGCGACTTTGCCGGTAAATATGACAGAGGAATTTACCCAAATTCTTTCGGGCAGATTGATGGACGGACGTGAGCCGTGACGCACACATAAACGGATATCGACAGAAGACCCTATTTATACTGGAATTAAGGTGTAGATAAAAAAAAACAGACATTTCGCAGACACATATTTTTACTTGAATAAGATTCATTCTCTCTTTAATCCTGGAGCCATAAAACGTATTTATATTTTGGTTGAATTATTTTTATGGTTTTCCTAAATCCATCAGACAGAGCCTCACCAAAATAAGCGAGACTGGAGTGGAAAAAGGCCAGAATACCAAATTTGAAATCGTGATTGGAAACACAATTCGATGGAACCAAACTTTAAGTTTTTTCCTAAAATAGTAGCCAATAAATCGCATTTGAATTATTCAGCAGGTGGACTTATGGCCACCTAATTATAATGGACGGTAAAATTCTATTTTTGGTCTCATGCCCGCCTAAGTAATTTGCTTGATTAGTTTAGCGGGTGGCTTATGATAATTATTTGAACGATTTTCTATTTCTATTTATATTTTGGTTTCATATACTATTTGTTTTATTTTTTCTTTTTTCCTTTTTTTTATATTTTTGGTTACCCCTATCCGACGATTCGATGGGCAGATCTGATAGACGCCGAGACCAGCGACATGATGCAGCAGTATTATAGCGACGACGCCTTCTATATAGCCGAGAATCGGGTTTATCAGTCCGGCAACGATGAGTTCGCCGGGATGTTCGGACCCATTCAGACAGTTGCGGGTTAGTAAAGTCGTCGCAGAGTCGGTGAATGGGTTTTGGCTGGACTGCCTAGACTCTGGCACACACACTATTTGGCTGAGTGACAAGTCTGCTCGCCGAATAGAGGAGCAATAAGGTGGCAGACGGAGATGAGAGGTCTGCTTGAGGGCTGCCATGCATGCACATTATTTTTTAATATTTTACAACATTTTCCGTGCCAGCTGCGAGCTGCGGTTGTGGTGCGGAGTCGGGTGTTTGTCGAGTCAAGTGCTGGGCGCCCGGGGCAAGCACTTTTCTGGCTCATGACGAACAAATTGCTTTCCAACAAGCTTTTACCCACTAACTTTGCCAGCTTGTTACGGTTACTGTTACTCCACCTATTATTCTCTACCTTTTTGCAATTTCTCGGTCTCTCTGCTCCAGTGTTGCCGCAATTTGAGAGCCAGAAAATTGCTAAAATGGCAAGAAAAATGTTTGCAATGGCAATAAAATTGGGAAAAAGTTTTTTTACATAAAAATGTTTTTCAACAAGTTATCAAATTTTTTTTAAAACAATTAATGTGTGGCTAGCGCACTAATTTATAACTTTTAAACTTAAACAGTAAGGATTAAACCTTTATAATTAGTATATAAATAAATAAACCGTTAAGTGTTCTGTCCAAATTAACAGTTTATAATAACCAGTCCAAATGCTTTTAATTTGGTTTTGATTGGTTTCCTATTCAATTTAAAATGTAGGTTAATATAGTTAATAAGATCAGAAATTGGGTACGTGATTAATGGGACTTAACTAAATATGAATTTAATATGTGCAGGATCTGGCTACAAAAATGAATTTATTTTCTTAAGTTGTTAACTTTTGGTTAACAACAAACAATTGATTTCCAGCTATAAGAGAATTCAACAGTCCAGCACTGCCCTTTTTGCCACTTTTGGCCCAAGTGACTCGCACATTTAATTATCCCCAAAGCCTTTGCAATATTTATTTGGCCGGAGATGCTGCGACTTAGTCATTCAGGGTCAGTGTTTTGCAAAGGTTGGGGTACACATCACTTTGTCCGTGGGTACAGAGGCTGGCATTGAAAAGGCCCTCCTCGTAGAGACTTCCCTTCTCAGGAGGTCCTGAGCTGTAGTAGCAGACAAGGACGAAGTGTATGTTCCACAGATCGAAGTCCCGGCCAGCGGCACATCCCATGTAAGAGCTCTTATCGTTAATAATATTACCGATCTCGCTTTCCGCATTTTCCGTGCTGATATCGTCCAAATCGAAAAGCTCATCCATCCATTGTTCCGATAGAGTTGTCATCTCGCGTACGTTTGACTGACGAATCCTTGGTCTTGGATAGAAATCCTCGGCGTAGTTGAATTGGGGATGGGCGAAGTCATCGGTGGCCAGGCACAAGTCATCAGGAAGTTCCCTTTGGCAGCGTTTCAGGTGATATTCGGCCACCACCGACAGGTAATCGTCCCACACCAATTCGGGCATTTTTTGGGCAGGTGGCAGGTCTGCATACACGCTGCTGGCTACCTCCTGGCGATACTCGTTGTGGAGACCCAGTAAATACTGCCTAAAAAACTGCATATTTACCAGACTGTGGTAACGCAGGCAGCTGTCATCGAACATCTTAAGAAAATTGGATTTGAATAAATATGTACATGACCATGAAGTACTCACCCACCATGGTGTTATCACAACCTATATGCCTCTTGCCATGGCAGGATTGTACATCACAGAAGTCTATGCCCAGAACACTTCTGAGAAACCAAATCTGGCTTAGAAAAAAACTCAACTGCAGTCCTTCCATTTCTGTTGAGTACTAACTAAGCTGCCAAGTGAATTGTTAAGTGTAATGGGAGTGTAAAAAACAGCACTGGCCAAATTGCCAAATGGTATACAAATTGAACACAAAAATTATTACAAATTTTCAGCTCATAACAAGTAACACAGCAAAGCAAACTATGACTAACTTGACATTTGAATTAGTGTAGGAAAAAGCCAATGTTTGGTGTTGGATAATGAAAAGTTAAATTAGCTAATCCTTTTTTTGATTACTAAGCTTTCTTTTTTAATGTAAGCTTTTGTATTTCCTAATTCTTAAGACCTTTTTAATAAAGCAGTATTTTTCCCTCTAACAACAAGCCCCAAAAACTTCATGGAATCTTATTTAAAATATTAAGTTGTTGTATCCCTGCCAAAGCAGCACAAAATTAAGCTGTTGTCCGTCTTAAAATCACACTCAACTTTGTGCAGCCTTGTCCTTTTCAAACTTTCCGTTCTCTGGCCGCCTGACGGGCGGTAATCGATTATTTAACGGGCTGACTTTGACTGGCACGGCAGCAGCTTCAGCTGCGAACTATGGAAATTGGCAACAAAAGCCAACCTGGACCGGATTGGCCTGGTCAGGAAGGTTGGAACGTGGCAATGTGGGAATGTGGGAGTGCGGGGTGTAGTCAAGGGAGGTCACATGTCACTGGTTGCAGGCGATGTGCTGGAAATTGGGAAAACAAACCATTTTCGGAATTTCACAACTCGTCAGAGACGAGAGCTGTGAACGTTTGCTGATTATGCGACGTAACGCAGTGATTAGCAGAGAGCTTGGGAATTTTTGCGATTTATAAAGAGAATGTAGCATGGGTTGGGTAATGGTTGCTTTAATATTTCTCCCCCCTTTTTCCGTTCGCAGTGCCCACGGCCACCATTCTTGGAGGACCGGATCTGTATGTGGACAAGGGCAGCACCATAAATCTCACTTGCATCATCAAGTTCAGCCCGGAGCCGCCGACCCATATCTTCTGGTATCATCAGGACAAGGTAAATATCTGTTGAAATCAATTTAGAGGGGCGACAGTGAGCCAAAAACCCAATTTAAGGTTTTTCCTTTTTGGTGCCAAATTATCCTGCAATAATTGAGTTTGTGAGCAGTAAAAAGCGCAAGAGGGGCGGTGCCACGCCCAGCCAATTGCTGCAGGATAAACGTTTTAAACTTTTATGAGCTCTTTGCTGGCGCCTCTCCAGTGAAATTGAGTGTGTGGGAGTGTGAGTTTGTTCGCGTTTACTCGCGTTTGCTCGCGTTTGTTTACGCGTCGTATACGCAACGTATTTAATTTTGGCTTTTATGATTATGAGAAAACATGCTTTTGCATTTAGCTTAGCACTCACCAGCACTTGGCTTTTTCAACAGGGGGAAAATCGCTTTTAATATGACAACCCAACCACCTCCACCGCTTTTTCCCTGCAGGTTCTCAGCGAGGAGACTTCGGGCGGTCGGCTGAAATTCAAGACCATCAAGTCGGAGGAGACCAAATCCATTTTGCTCATCTACGATGCGGATCTCCTGCACTCTGGCAAATACTCGTGTTATCCTTCGAATACAGAGATAGCCAGCATACGCGTCCACGTCCTTCAGGGTAAGTTTTGGGTGCTTCTCCGTCGAGTTTTCTTTTCGTGCGCTGCCAGGCTCCCTCTTTAAGGCCTTAATTGGATGCTCGAGTTTGATAATGTGGATTATACATTCATGCATCTGCTTGACCTCGATTTGTATGCATTAAACTTGCATCTCGTTCCGTCTTCGTTGGGCCAACTTTTGCGCAATTTATGAACTGGCCGCCACAACAGAAGTACACTCCAAAAAATGTGCATCTCAAGAGGTTTTTGGAAAGCAAAATCTTTTAACTTACGTTATTTGGAAGCCACTGTCTCTTAATTGAAACGAATGGAAAATTACAACTCAAAAATTACCGTGCTTTCTAGTATTTTTCTCTTTTAATTTATTTCTTGTATTAATATTTTATGAATTTTCTCCGATCTTTCATATCAAGAAGTCAATAATTTTAAAAATTTAGAAGAAAAGCTCTTGAAGTTTTAAGCTTTAGGTCTTTATTTTTGAAAGAAAGTTAAGTTTTTTTTTTATCAACATATTGATTTATTAATTTATTATGTGAAATTTTTTTCTTTTTCTAACTTTTATTTGCATAAGAGAAATGGAAAAAGTTGTTCATTATAGTTCTTGTGAGGAATACAAAGTTTTTTTGATTACTTGAAATTTAATGTTTCAAGCATAACGTATTACGGTTTAAAACTGACTTAAATTTAATCTTAACATAATATACATATTCAACAGTGATTTAGGTTAATTAGATAACAAAATGAATGTAATTTTTTGTAAAACACTTTGTATTTTGTCCCTGTCCGCGCTACAAATCTACCTGAGCTTCCTTTTTTGGGCCACTTTATATCTAAATGTAGGACCTTTTTGTGACGCAGACAAACTACAAATTGTTACTCATTCAGCGCAAATCTTGTGCCATCTCTCCGCGACACAAGACGACACGACACGACACGACCCTAACCATTTTCCATTTTCCTTTACCGTTTTCCATTTCCCGGACAGGCGAGCGACCCGAGGCGATGCAAACGAACGCGGCGCCGGCGGCAGTGGCCCTGGCCTGTTGGTCCTGTCACTTTGGAGAGGCCACGCAGGCGGTCAGGGTAATTAGCACAATGGTGGCGGCCCTTGTATTGTTGGAGGCCTGCTCCTCGTTGCTGCTTCAAAGAGGCGGTGGTGGTGGCGGAGGAGCAGGAGGAGGAGGAGGAGGACCCACTCGAATCAGGAGCGAGCGACAGGAGAGGACCAGAAGCTACGCAGGTAACCCCAAGGAACCCTCGACGACGTCCGAGGAGCGAGTCAATAGTGGCAGCCACAATGCACGGTGATAAATTAATGTCGCCCCGTTGGAATTCCACCGCCAATGCAGCAGCAGCCCCTAAATGCAGTAGAAATGATTTATAGGCGAACTTACGGGAGCAGCAGCATCTGAGGTCCTTCCGCCCGAGCTGCATGTAATACCTTTCCAAAAAAAAAAAATGAACCCAACTAATTATGCTAATGATGGAAGACGCCGTGCTCATGGCGCTGCTCCTCCTCCTTCGCAAGTTGTAAGTAAGTGTGTTTCTAATTAAGTGGGCTGGGGATTAGTTAGTTAGGCGGAAATCAGAGCCATGTACATAAACTTCTCACGTAAATTGCCAGCACACTAGCGAACTTAGCTAAATGGAAAGCATTTCGAACGAATCATCAAATTAGAGAACTATATTCAAGTGGTTTGCTTATAGAGCCATGCCTAGGTGTTTACAGAAATATTAAAGTAAATAAAATGGAAAACAGGGGGGCTTTTGGCAAGCAGCAGAAATTTAAAAATTAAATTTTAAGGTATTCTCTAAAATAATTGGATTTAAATACCTAAGGTAAAGTGTAATTCGTTTTTAAAAAATAACAAAATAAATTTTATTTGTATATATATGTAGAACTCAGTCTCCCTAAGATTTGATTTTAAATATCTACTGACTTCCCAAAGACCCCTGTTTAGAAACGTAAGAATATACAAAAGTAGCAAAAGTTTACTCAGATTGTTGTAAATATTAAAGGGATTCGTTCTTGATTTGTCTGTGTTGTCCTTGGGTTACCCTGTATAGCTTAGCGTTTAAGCATTGTAAATATTTAGACGTACAAAGTAGCTAACTGTTTGGACACGAACTTCTCCGAAGGTTCCTAAACCAACAAAATTTTTGAACACAATTTACATGTCCACTTCTCCCTCAATAATCTATGGTAACTCAGATAATGCATGAGAAATTCCTGCCAAAAACACGCCTCAGTTCGAAGTGCGACTTTCCGGGCTAACAATTTATTTAGAAGAATTTCTCCAAGTCTTGTGGGCAGTTCCTGTTCCCATTTACCAGCTCCTGGCAATGGGTTCATTGCTCTGCCCTAGCCCAGTAAAATTTAGAGCTCCCATTTCAGCATGTCCGGTTGCATTTTTACGCCCCTTACTGCCCCTCCGGAAAATAGAAAAAAGGAAGACAGAACTGGCAAGTCACTTTTCACTCTTGTCAACAAAATATTTGCATTTCCATTTGCCGAAGCGCTCGCAGTCGAATGGGTTCAGGTTGGTCTTGTCTTGAGGAACTTTGTCCTGCAAATCGAGCCGAGGCTCCTTCGTCCTGTGCCACATTTAAAAATGTATGGCCACTGGCCGGGACATTGGGAAGCCAGGGCCTGTAAGGAGCTGAGTTTAACTGATCAAAATTGTAAATAAACCTGCATATATACCATATGAATAAACTATAAACTGTAATCAAGTATTTGTGTGGTAGTCATACATTACATATAAAAACACACACATAAGAATGCACACTGACATCGCAAATCGGTCTATATACATGTACGGATTTATATACGTATCGATATTAAAAATGTAAACCCAACGCATGCAAAATTAGTCGCGACATGTAAATGAATGTTTAATGGGTAAATTAATGTTGCCATATGAGGGACAGAAAAAACCATGAATATAATTGCAATTAAGCAAATAAAATAATATATGTTATAAGCATAATAAGGAGAAAAATAGCGAGTATTATAACAGAAGCCGAAAAGCAGAAAACGAAAACATAAACAAAAACAAACTCTGTTGACTTTTGTTGCAAACAAAATGGCAACGCATTATTCAGATTATGGAAATTGTTTTTAATTTTTAAACGACGTAGCCACGTAAATATGGAAATCGGTATGAAAAATTTCAATAAAGTTTTTTTTAGTTACTACCATCCAATGATAAATATGTATAACAAAAGCTCGACTTTTCTTTGATTTTTGGCTTGGGGGCCCGTCGCCACATGCTGAGTCGAATCCTGGTAAGATTTATGCAAATATTTTCCATTGCCATTCATGCATTTAGCCTTAGCCTGTGAATTTTAATGGGCCACACGCACAAGACCACAGACAATGGAATTTCGGAGGTGGCCCCACGGGGGACTGCAAGTTTTTCCTCTGTTTTCGGGGGCGGCATTTTCACATTTTCCATTTTTCAGCCTAATAAAGCCGCAATGCGAAAGGCAGGAAAACTGAAGGCAAGAAGAATGGGCATTAAGTGCCTGGCTCGCAGCTGTCCCTACGAGTCCTACGAATCCTACCAATCCAACGACTAGCAATGGGCCATGTGTGGCAGGACTCTGTTTGCGCTTTGGTAAGACATCAAAAGCCGTTAGCATAAAAGTTTATTATATGACAAGTAAGTATGTATCTGCCTGTGTCCTGGCCCGTAATAGCATGCCAAAAAGTTTAATAGCGCACATCGCGTCAACCCAGTTCGCCTTCCTCGCCCGCTTCTCCCCCGAATCCATTGAGTGGAAAGCGTAAGGAGCGAATAAGGCGCATCAGGCTCATGAAGCGGAAAGTTCCCCCGCCTCAGCCGGAAAGGGAGTATTACCCGAGATGATGACGACGATGATTGGTATGCTCTGGTTTCGGAAACACAGCCGCGTATGCAAGATGGATGGACTGCACGAGTCGATAAATCGCTGGATCTGAACAGGAAGATTGACATTTCTTTGCGGGAATAAAAAATGCAATATCCGAAAGCAATATTATATATATATAATACATAAATCGATATATTTATAGATTCATTTTAAAGCAGAGACTTCAAATTTCAATTCCCAGATATAAAATAAGGGTAAGGGTAATATGGGTATAAGTAGTCAGTTAGTTGAGTATTAAGTAAAAAATAATAATGAAAAGACAGTTTGAAAAATTTGGCTACAAAATGAAATAAATTAAGTAAGCAGTTTAAAAACTTTTTGAAATAAAAAAAAATTGGCTTTAAAATGTTTTTTCCCAAGCAATTTAAAGATTCTTTTAGCGGAGAAAAAACGTTTTGTTTGCCAGCTACTATATATTAGATTCCCCATTTTAGCTTAAATCCTATATAAATCCATTTATATTCAGTCATCTCCTGACAATCATGGTCTGCCAAAAAAAGCTCCCCAAAAAGGCGCCAACGCAATTGTCGGATATTACCTTTAATTGCGCATTGCTCGGGCCACAGATGTCGACTGGGGTGCAGATGAAAGCCGGAATGCCCCGGGAATGTGGCACACAGTTGGGTCCGAGCACAGGCAATCGACAAAAGGGAAAATAAATTATCATCATTGTGACATTTTCATTTGTCAACGTAATTTTCCCTGTGTCGCATTCCTGGGCTGCCTAAAAGGACACTACACTCGCTGTACCGAGTGCCGCAGGATCAACATTAACGTTTTGAAAAAAGTCTGGCAATTTGGCCAGGAATTTACTTCACTTTGACTGGCGAAAAAATAAAAGCGAAAGCAAACAGGACACGTTTGCCTTTTATGTGTTGCCTCCTGTGGAGGCCCTTTATATTGCCGCGTACATTTTTAATGCGAAAGTATGATTTGATTTTATTTGGCTCAGCCACACATTTGTTTCGTCTGCATCAGAAGTTGCAATTTAAATTCGCTTATTGAACATAAATCAAATGTCTAAGGCTTCAAGAGCACAAACACACACATAGTCGTGTGTTTGTGTCTTCCAAATCCAGTACATAATTTATTGACATGACTGTGAATTCTGGCAGGACCAAAGCCCTGTCAGGAACTACCGAACTTTGTCCTCCAGCAGCCAACTGGAATATTGTACATTATTTTACTGATCCCCTCGACCATTCAGCGTGCTTGTGGCACTGTCAAAGCGAATGCCAATGGCCAATTTAAATTGCAGCAAAATGACGAGATAAATGCATTCCTCTGCCGGTTTTCCTATTGACTTCCAACGATTTAAGCTGCTTTGTCTTGGCGAAGTAACCAACTTTTTTTTTGGGAAAACAAAAAATTAATTTATTTCACCCCTCATTAGTGCTTACATACAGCGTTATTATTTAGTGTAATTACTTCCACATTCCCTTAATATTCCGCTTTTAGAAAATAAAACAATGAAGAAGAAACGGAAGCCAAATTTGTTGGCTATATTATTTACACATGTAATGAAATTTCTGTGGTTATTCGCCAGGGAAAATAAAGGGTTCATGGGGGGCGTTTCCCTTGGCAATTATTTGGCGCCAGTTTTTCAGCCAAATTTCTCATTTTTCTGCTTTAAAAATAGCAAATTAATTATATTTCACGCCGCGTTGTCGACAGCAACAAAAAAAAAAAAAAAATAGAAAAAAAGAAATCGTTGCCCTGGCTCATAATTAAATTTTGCATTTGTGCGTAAGGGGTGGAAAATAGGGGTATGTGGGCTCATATTGCGTATACGCATGGATGTGCGGTTTTAGACGGGGGAAGTAATACGGCTTTGATTAGGAAATCGGTTTAAATGGTTTAGCCATCGCTAACTGTTTGTTTTGTTGCTCTGCTTTTTGTTTGGCTGGAATTTCGTTTTTAAATTTGTCTGTGTGTTCTTGTGGTTTTGGTTTTGGTTTTGGGGTGTGTGTCTGTGTGTGAGCCAGTTTTAGCCGAGAATTGCTTTTTGAATATGTGCGACATTGTTGCCGTTGTCTCCATAAATGAATATCCTAGCTGTGTTGAATTTGTTGCTCACTCTGTGCCCACTTTGGGTTGTCATTTTTGCGGTCAACACTCCCACTCCCACGAGCGCTTGAAAAAGCCGTCCGGAAAACGCCCTCCTAATGCAATTTGTCATTTTCAATTTTTGTTTCTTTGGCTCTCTGGCTTTTGTCTCAAATGGAATTTTTGGCATTTCGTTCACATAAATTAGGCCTGAGCGTCTGTCCTGCGTCTTTGCTTGTTTATTCTCTTGCTATTGCCAGTGCTGCACTCAAAAATTGCTGTATAAATAATTATTTTTCCCATTTCGTTTGGACGCAAATTGTTTACTTTTCGCATATTTCACCAACTCGTTTGCTGTTGACAATTTCATTAGGAGTAGCTGTGACTGCAAATTGAAGGGGCATTCTCTCTTGGCGTCACGGTTACACGAACGTTGGCATAATCGTTAATCCGTATGGCCATCTGATTTGGGCTCTGTCACAAGCTAACTCGATTTGCTGGCAACTGTCGTTCTTGGTCAATTTAAGTTGGCATCAAATGCAATTATCCATCTGCACTATGTTGGGATTGCCGTATGTGAGTGCCGTATTATACGGGTGGCTTGGTGGAGTTACCAAGTCGGACTGACTTGGATAAAACAGGACTAGATTTATTTCAAGACTCCAATAAAAAAGTTGGCTTACTCCGGTATATTTCAACAGTCCCCTTAAATAGAGCGAATAAAACTAGAAAGTTAATATCCACCATATAAAAATTATTTAACAAAATGATACAAACAAAACAAGTGACAAATTAATATTAACTTTGTAAAAAAAATGATTTCTTTGAATTTTGAAATTTAGTTGTTGACTAAAACAATTTATGTTTAAAAAAAAGGGCTTATAAATGGTGGTCTTTAAGAGACGTCTCATACCTTATGTAAGATCTACATTTTATTAACTTATTGGTTTATGTCTTATTGACATTTATGCTTTTAAAATAAACAACTTATAATTATAAAAAAATAATTTATTTATTTTTAATATTTTTTATTTTTCTTATACGATTTTTTGCAGACTTTTCATAATATTATGGAATTATATTAATATTTTTGAAGGTACATAATATATATTAAGAAAAGGCATTATAAAGAACAAATGGCAGAGATTTAAAATTAATTTCTGTACGTACAACAATATAACCTGGCCAGAAACTGTTCATCTTGTCGTTATCCCCTCGCCGTATATCGAGTTATGGGCTGTCAGGCCGGATGAAAAGTCTCTGGCCCTGGTGTGCATTTAATTCCATTTAAGCCGGTCCCTTTCCGAGCGGGCAGTGTCCAATTGCCGGGCACTTAACTGAAATACAATTTTTATGGCCACGCGAGCAGGATTGGAGGAGTGCGGAAAGTGGAATCCTGGATGATGATGGCCTCACTCCTTTTGTCACTTTTATAGCATACTTTTGCGACTTTCGCACATCCCTGTGACTGCATAATTTTGCTGTGCGGCACGCCGGCATATTCTCATCTTTCGTTTGTATTTTGCATGATTTACTCTGATTTCAGAGCTCGTCCCGTTCGCTCCATTCAGACTGCTTTTGTAGTTTTATCACACACTTGACCCATAAATCAAACATGTGTAAATGTTTTCACTTTATATGCGCACTCATACATGCGCATCAAATACTTTGGCCGCCGTCGCTCTATTCTATCTATTTTCCCCGGACGGATGGAGTGGAGCAAGGTCCTTCGTCCTGGCAGCTCGTCCTCCGGTTAGTGCAAGTAAACAAAGTAGAGAAGCGTGTAAATATGCCGCAAATAGATGGCTTCTTGTTATTCCCAATCCTGCCTTATTTATATATGCGTTCGTCCTTCGCTTCTCCTGGCGGCCTGTTCCCCAGAGTTTCGTGTCAATCCCTTTTGATGGGCCACTGACATTTTCGGCGGCTTGTCATTCCGTTTTTGTGCGAATTTTTATTGGCTTAGTGGGCATAAAGTTGAATGAGTTTCGGGCATAAATTTCGCATACACATATATCGTTTTTTTTTGGGCTTTAATAAATGGCCGAAAAATGCCAAAACGAACCGCTAATTGTGTCAAAAAAAGGCACCAATATATTTTACGCAAATTGTATTTTCAACAGGCCTTTGGGGGCCAAACTCGATTTGTTTTGACATTTAATTTAAACTCTTTGCAATCGCCGCTAATGACGATGTTGGCGGTGTGATTTTATGAATTGAATTTATCGCTTAATTCTATTAAATAAGCATG